TTTTAATGTAAAACAAATTATTATCATAACTATAAGTCATTGTTGTTGACCGTTGTTTTTCTACTTAGTTACTCCATCGTGGAATTAATATTATTGAGAGGAATTAAGAGAAAATAATCACAAGTAAGATATAAAAATATCATGAATTTTTAATATTTTTATTTTAAAAAATAATATATCATCCAATCTTATAAAAATAATAAACTTTTTACACTCAAAAAAATATTTTGTAAAGATAAAATCATCACAAATTAGTAACAGAGTTATTAACAATTTTTTAAAATAAAATTAAAATCTGTGATATTTTAGGTTTAAGACCACACATTATATAACAAATTCTTTTTATGTATCCCATGAATATGACTCGTGAGTTCCCCTTAACTACTCTCTTAATAGTTACTCCATGATCGAGTAGTTAAGTAGAAAAACAAATGATCATCAACAATGACTTATAATTGTGATAATAAATTATATTATATTTTAAAAATTAATTTTATATACAACTTTCATTAAATTTAAGAGGTATATTAAACTTAATTTAACAAATATTAACATGATGGGTATATAGTGAGAATGTTCAAAACTTAGGGGTAACTAATTGATTTTTGAAAATGCAAAGTTGCATTAATAATTATGATATAACCTCGGGGGACTAATAATATTTTCCCCTTCATTGAAACATAAGTACTCCGTATCAAAATATTCTACAAAGATTTAGCATTATAACAAAAGGAAATACACGTAAACATTGTATTCCGTTTTGGAATAAAGTTATTATCATTATCCGAAAATAGTGATTGTCAATCAGTGATGGACTCGGGCCGGGCCTAGGCCCGGTCGGGCTTTAGAAGTTGGGAGGTAGGCCCGGAACCGGCCCGGGTAACCCCCGGGTCCGGGTCGGGCCTCGGGCCAAATTCAATTTTTTTTCCTTTTCCTACTTAACCCCCGACCCCCCCCCCCTCACCCTGACCCCCCAAACCACCCCACCCCAAATGGCCCAAAATACCAAACCCAACCCGGGAATTCAAAAAAAAAATTGAAAAAAAAAATATGGCCCGAATCAGGCCCGGCCGGGCCGGGCCGGTTCCTTGTTTTCCTGACCCGAGCCCGCACCGGAAAACCCCCCGAGTCGGGCCTACCCGGACCGGTCCCTGGCCGGGCCACCAGGTCGGGCCGGGCCTAACAGTACCGTGCCGGGTCCGGTTCCGGGTCGGTCCACCCGGCCCGAGTCCACCACTACTGTCAATCAATAATCATCAAATACCACGTACGTATCATCTTCCAATTAATTTTCATCATGAACATCGGCGGGACAAAGAGTATCAACGAGAGAGTAATATGGTGTCTATCTGAGCGCCGATCTGAGTCCTAGCGCCGATTGGCACTATTGAAGGACATATGTATGTCTTCGGTATAGATGAGCGACTCCATCGTAATTTACCATTTACAGGTCATGACCGGTCCTGTCTTTTTCGGGCCTATGGGTGAGATAATATTTTGGGCCTATATTCAAGACAATCAATAAATTATACTTGTTTAAAATATTAATTATAATAAGATTATCTAATAAAAGTCATAAAATAAAAAACAAAACTTGTTTTATTACTCCGTATTATTTAAATTACACATTTGGTGAAAAATAACAACACAAGTATCACATAAAAAGAACAACATTGCTTAAAAATCTTTCTCGCAGAACATTGTGAAGCAAAATCATCAATAATTGCTTCACAATCAACCTACTCAAATATCTCATGTTCAATGCTTAAAATTGCTTAACCCATTAAGCCTTTCTTGACACATAGTCAATTGTAGATAATTCATCAGAATCTTCAACTTTGAAAAAATTTACTTAAATGCGTTTCTTGCGGAATTTGAAGATTCAATTTCTTAACAAAAATTTGTTTTTCCATTGACCCCTTCTGATATAAGCCTACCTTTTCTAATTTTATCGTCTCTCTTTATACCAACCCGATTTACCCATTTTATCGAGAATAATTTATTGATCACTATTGGATTGTTTGATGCCTTGAAAGAAGAAGTTTTTTTGGTCACCGACTGCCGTTTGAATTGGGCTCCTCGATTGATTGACTTCTTAACAAACTGTTGAGGCACTCACCACTTTGGAGTGTGTTGGGTGTGTTTCGGAAAATAAAGAAAATTAATTAAAAGAAATTAATTAAATAAAATGACAAAAGAAAACAGAAATGAGATGGAGCAGAAATTTGTCAAAGCTCGTGCTACGCACGATGTCCTTAAAACGTATTTGTTGCCTCCCACGGTGCTAGGAGCGTTGCAACAATAGTTTCCCAGGATACGATGACAACGAACTAATGTTTGAGCACACAAACAAGAGTTCCAACGAACGAGAACAAAGACTGAACACAGAAGGAATTTTCAGAGTGCTAGCAGTGTGTTTTTAGAGCTAAAATGTGTATGGAGTGCAAGAATGCGTGTAAGAACGTGTGTTGTTGCAAACCACCTGCCAGCCTTTATATAGGAGGATTTGTTGTATGAAAATAGTGAATTAATGGACCAGAACGTTGGACATCAATGACCAGTCCGTTGGGCATTGAATTGTCCATGAACTGTCCATTTAACACTGCATTAAAAGATATAAACGTTGGGCATTTATTGTTGTAACGGTTCAGAAGCCATCAGAAGACCCCTACGTTGTTCTGCCCGAAGGCCATCAGAACTGGAGCAGTTCTGATGCGCGGTCATCAGAACCGGAGCATCTCTGCCCGAAGGCCATCAGAACTGGAGCAACTCTGCCCCCGAAGGTCATCAGAACTGGAGCAACTCTGCCCCCCGAAGAAAACAAAAATTACCCGTATCTCTTGAGAGATGAATTTTTGGACGACATTCGTGTCCGCAGGTCGCCCGCGCACGCAAGTCGCGGTTTTTCTTCTCCGAATTCGGGATTTGATTTGCACCCCCCCCCCCTGCGCGCGTGGAGAGAGCCTTTACCCTTAGGAATCTTAACTCCATAAGGGGAGAGTTCCTTTATAAAGGGTTGCAAATCCCTTGGGTTTTCCGGTGTGGGAAATTAACACTAGAAACCCATCCTTTTTCCCAGTTTTTCCATTCTAACGGGTAAACTTCGAAAAGCGATTTCTCATTCACCCGTTATCCGTTTTGAGCGTACCATATATCGAATTGTAGCCCTTAACAAGGACAATCCGAAACCACTTTGACCCGACCCAAATCGGAAGTGGACCCCACTCAAAAATTGCCCCAAAATAGCCATTTAATGCAATTTTTCACACATTTTTCCAACAGAGTGTTCTTTACCCTTGTTGATTTTGGAATTTGGAAACAACAAATAATTTGAATGTGTTTTAGAATTAGGAGTTTTGGAATTGGGAGTCTTAACATAACTTGGTTATTTTGTAATTAAAAGGATTAAAAAGCCTAGAGATGTGAAGAGTATTAAGAGAGGCGTGCCTCTTTACATTGATTTTAAAAATTAAACCTTGAGCCTAATTAATTGAGCTTAAAAATTAAAAAAAGAAGCCTACTCACACTACATATAAAGAAATATTTTTGACCTATTTTTTCTTCCTATTTTTTTGGGCCTAGGACGGTCGCCCCGGTTGCACCCCCCTAGGGCCGCCCCTCTTACACGTAAGTTCTAAGTCGGAAAAGATAGTCATCGCTTTCATCTTGACGCCGAAGTTTAATCATTTTTTTCCCAAACGGGAATTGGGTTCATAATTTAAATTAGGTTGAATTGATTAAGAGAAAGCCTCTGATACCACATGTTGAATAATCTTAACGAATTAATGTTTCCAGCGATCTTCTCCAATCAAAGCAAACACAATAAATATAACGAGAATGAAGGATGTGATTTACTTACTTGAAGGAAATTCTATCTTGTTCGGTGATGAAACCATGATTCCCATTATGATGCCTTATTAGTGATGGAGGATTGATCAATGATAATGATCGGGTTATAGATGCATATCCCAGAGAAGTGTTATGGTGTTATTTATAAGTCTTTAGGGACATGAGTGAAGAGATATGAATAAATGAACATATCCTTTCGTATGAATATAAGAGAATGGACATCAAGTAATAGTAATGTCTTTCCATCTAATTAAATTAATTATTAGGCACCTAATGGGAAATCTGTTATCCCCTTATAATAATTACAATTACTCCCATCAAGTAATATTTAGGTAAGACGGGGATACATTATATCATATTGTGGCATAATTACTATTAACATAGTAATAATCAAATAATTATTATAAATGGTTCTAAGGCCACGTATAAAATGGAAAATATTCCAACACTAATTACTATGATGAAGTTGATGGCACCTTAAGTGTTGACCGCACATGTAAGATAAATGAGTGGACCCATTCAAAGTTTAAATCCCAATTTTACTTAAAATGTTATAAGTTTTTTTTTTTATTTATATTCCATTTTTTATAAAAACTATTTCAAAATCATAATTTTTAATGATTTTTAATATGACACCAATATATCATATATAGAATTAAAATACAAATTTAACTTTTAACTGTTGGGGGTTTTTAGACTCGATTTAAAAAAAGATTTAAGAGTTAAAATTACGATCTTATTATTATTTTTACATCATTCGATTTTTTCCAATTTCATTTTTATTTACATGATTAACCTTTTAATCATAATTATTTATGAAAAGAAAATTGAAAAAAAAAGACGCAGAATAAACCTTTTAATTAAAAAAAACTTTGTTGAATGAATGTATTGACGGTGCTGCATCATTGGTAAAATTAAATTGACTGAATGAATACACATAAATCGATGTAAAATTTAATTTATTGACGGGGATGGATTGCAGTAGTCTTATATGAGTTAGGATTGATCTTGTTTAGGTGTATTTTACACTTTTCTAACATAATGCAATACAGAAATTTACTTGTTTTTCTCCACTCCACTGCTCCACAGTCCACAGGTATGCTTACTTAAGCACTGACGTGATAATCGATGTATGCTAGCTAAGCAATGACGTAATCAGCAACATACGTACATGCTTGAAACGCCACCCCCCTCCCCTGCCTTTAACGACAATTCAGCGGAATTCTTTCACGGGATTGAGCAAGGAAACAGAGTCCATTCATGGCTGCCGCTGTGAATCCGGGCGTGGAAGATGCGCCTCTCAACACCCGTTCCGTGTTGTCAACCAATCTCATAATCAACAGGCTTCATATGCTCCTCAACGGGATCGCCATAGTCTCCATTTTCTCCTACAGATTCACCACTCTTTCTGCCATTCTGGGAACAGGGGAAACGCCTCTCGTGCCTCATCTCATCGTCACTATCTCCGAACTAATCCTCGCGTTTCTCTGGATTCTGCACCAGGCTTTGCGATGGCGGCCCGTCAAACACGCCGTGTTCCCGGAGAGGTTGCCGGAAGACGAGAAGCTCCCCGCTGTCGATGTGTTTGTCTGCACGGCTGATCCCAGTAAAGAGCCGTCTCTGGGAGTCATGAACACTGTTATATCGGCTATGTCTCTCGACTACCCTTCTCACAAGCTCGCTGTTTATGTTTCCGACGATGGCGGTTCTTACATCACATTGAAAGCTGTTCGTGAAGCGTGGAAATTTTCTAGGTTCTGGGTTCCTTTCTGTCGAAAATATGAACTGAAAGTCAGGTGTCCCGAAGCTTATTTTGCTACTCAAGAAACTGAAGAAAGTGCTCATGAGAAACTCATTGACAGCACTGAGTTTGTTGCTGATAGAAAGATCCTCCAGGTTATCACAATTTCTTAATTTTTTTTAAGGAAAACTAAGATTAAGTTGTTGCATGTAGCACGGAAAGTCTCGGGAAAGAGTACGTTTCCTGTTTCGGAAACTCCCCGGAAGTCTTTGGAAACTCTCCAAACAAGCCCTTTTTGAGCAAAAGATTGACGTTTCTCGTTTCCCGTTTCCTCGTGATTTTCGCGTTTTAGGTTGTCTTGTCTGTTTTCTTAAAATATTTAAAATCTTAGGTTTCTTCTTTTCTTTCTCCAAAAGTTGTGGACTTTCTGAGTTTCTGGTGCAGGAAAGATATGCTGAATTCCAGGAAGCTTTGGAAAGTAATTTGGGGAATGCGATCAAATCTGTTAGCAAAGATCATCCGCCTACCATAGAGGTGCACAATCCGTTGGGTTGACATTGAAATTATGTTTTCTGCTGCATATATAAAGAAGATATCCATGTCTTGATAATAGTTAAGTAGGGTAGTAAGTAAAGAGTTTCTGAGAGTCTTACATTAATTAATAAATTTAAAGAGAGAATGATGTAGAACTTTTGTTGAACTAGCTAACAAAAGTTCAATTTTATAGTGTGGGTTGATCCTAATTGTCTTTTGGCAGAGTTGAGCTACATTTGCTTAATGCTAAACTCTATCATGGCATTAGAGCAGGTCTTGGCCCACTTTGTTAACTCACTCCTAAATTCTATTATGGAGTATGATATTAGGGAAGGTTTATCCAGCCCCTACGGCCCATGATCCTAACCTTAGGTTGAACTAACTCTAACATATTCAACTTAATACGCTAGTACGCGTTAATCCCAATCCTATGCTGAAGTTACTTTTGGAGCACTTATTTCGGGGTGTTCTTGATTAGTATCTCATGCTGGTCTCAGTTGTAACTGTTTTGGTAATGTAGTTGCTCCAAGTTGTATTTTTTACATACTCCGGATTAAATTGTAATGGGCATTGCTGAATAATATTTATTTCTTGAAAAGATCCTTTAGGCCTGCTTTTGGTTATTGGATCTGATTTATTCAGAATATGGCATCATGGTTATTGTTGATCACCAGTCATTATTTTTATCTGTGCAATTGGAACCTAGAAATGCTGATTGCTTGTCCATTTTTTTGTTAGGTATCTTTAATTGTATGTATTTGATCTGCAGTGCATTTACTCAATGAAGGATTAATTGTTTGCTTGTTCTTCACAAAATAGAAGTGTAAATGCTTCAGAACTGCATTGGTTTGTGTATCGTAGGAACTATTGGTTAAGTACCTTTAAATCTAACTTAGCCGTGTTCTGTTTCTTATAGCCCATGAGTTTCCTGTGACTAAACTTCCTTGCCTTGTTCTTGAATCTGATTACTGCTGGTTTTTGTTTCAATTTTGGGATTGATTTTGTCCTTCACTATGAGCGGTCAGGTAATGACCGATGAAAATAATGATCCCAGCTTAAGAAAGATGCCTCTTCTTGTCTACGTTGCTCGGGAAAAAAGACCACGCCATGCACACCATTTCAAAGGAGGAGCACTCAATGTTCTAGTAAACTTACTTTCTTGACGCCTCTGCTTTCTAAAGATTTTTTTCCATTTTATCTCTGATTATTGCCTCAATGATACTTTTGCCGCTTGTCTTTCATTCTCCCACTTTTAGTTCTTTCACTATTGTGAGAGCGATACTTTTCACACATTTTTTATTTTTTCACTGCTAGTACATGTCTTTGATTTTTTCCATAATACGTGAAAAATAAGAAGTGTCACTTTTGACAATAGTTGGAGGACCAAAAGTATCACTTCATAATAATTAGAAGCTAGAAGTGGAAAATTTCAAAGTTAGTAGCAAAAATGTCTTTCACATTATAGTCAAAGGACTCAGAGTTGGAAAAAACTGGCCTTCAATATGTTTTATATTACAAAAGTTATTATTTCTGGTTATGCAATTCATGACTTTCTTCAGTTCTCGATTTTAGATCTCCATAATATATTTCAACTCATCACTCATATATAATTAGCTGTGACTTCTAATATGCAGCTCAGAGTATCTGCAGTGATAAGCAATGCTCCATACTTTTTGGTCTTGGACTGTGACATGTACTGTCATGATCCTTCTTCTGCTCGCCAAGCTATGTGCTTCTATCTTGATTCTATAATATCTCCAAAGCTAGGTTGGGTTCAGTTCCCTCAGAAATTCCATAATACAAGGAAACGTGACATCTACGCTGGACGGCTAAACCACAATATTGTATCGCTGTCTTTCTAGTACTATTCTTCAATATGTTGTTAAAGAATATCCACAATATTGTTTTGTCCCTGCTTGTATCAATTTAATTCATTGCCCAAAAAATTTTAATGCGCAGAGAGCAGGGTATGGTTTTGATGGTCTTAGAGGAACTAACATAAAAGGCTGCAATTTTTTCATGAAGAGGGAAGCAATCTATGGAACTAAGAACATTCAAAGGGGTAGGGTACCTGATTGTATATATCCACATAAGCCTATGTAGTTACATACTTCAAGTAATAAAGTACTATTGATATGACTTTGAAGTTTGAACATACAAGTTCATAATTTCTAAGGACTATTACAATGTTTATAATCTTATATACATGTACTATGGACCTAATCTCTGTAGGAATAGAAAACCTAAACTTAAACCAAATTGTGTCATACTCCTAGGTGGGTATTTATGTAATTCTTTTGATAATTACTCATATTTCCAGGTGATCCTCACAAATTGGAGATAGTGAGGATCACTTCATAACAATGTGGAAAGCCCTGTTTCTTTGTGCTGATGCTCCTTTGATTCCGCTCATTTTGATTCTATATAATGCTGAATAATAGAACATAAATAAAACTCAATTTGCCTTTTGGAAAATGCTCATTTAGCTTATTTTATGTACCATGCTTATGCCACATTCGGGTGTACATATAGGTTCTCTAAAGCCAAAAGGGATAGGAAACTATACTACTACTGAAACTACGAAAGTTTTATTATTATTTATATACTTAAAACAACATGTGTATTACACTATTACTTATAACTGGTGAAATGAAAAATATCCTTCGTTCTTATTTTCTGTCCAGGAGCTGATGTGAACCAGCTGAAGATGTTGTTTGGCTCGAGCAATGAGTTCATTGAAGCTTTTATGTACCAAAAAAGTTACATACCAAAGTTGCCCGAAGACAGAAAGCCCTTTGAGGCATTGCAGAAGGAGCTTCAATTGCTAGCCTCATCTACTTATGATGTTGACACGCAATGGGGAAAAGAGGCAAGTCTCTACACACTGTTAGTAGAAATATAAGGAAAGAATTCAGTTGCCATACTATGGTCGATTGGTCGGTCATGTATGCATATCTTCTTATTTATATTTTATCAAGTGCCAGGTGGGCTACCGATATTTTAGTGTTGTGGAGGATGGGATAACAAGCCTTGAATTGCACTGTGATGGGTGGATTTCTGTGTTAATCAACCCTTCCAGACCATGTTTCTTGGGTGCAGCCACTACCAACTTAAATGACATGTTAGTTCAACAGACTCGTTGGGCTTTTGGACTGATGCAAATGGGTCTGTCAAGGTTTATGCCTCTTATATATGGTCCAGTGAGAATGTCAATTCTTCAAAGCATGTGTTATGGTGCACTTGTACTTGACTCTCTTTCCACCATCCCCTTCTATGGGTTATCCATAATTTCTCCAATTTGTCTACTTTATGGCATTCCTCTGTATCCCCAGGTGAGCAAGCAAAACACAGGCTTCTTTAGGGCTTGTTTGGATGGAGGGGTTTGGAGGAGAAGGGTTCCGAGAGAAGTCTAATCTTGAAATATATATTTGACATTTTAAAAAAATTGAAAAGATTAACATAATAGGTGAATCATAACTTCTTGATCACAGTATTTGTTTTTAGGAACACTCCTGTTAAATAAAAACTACTGCTTTTATTGATTAATACTTTCAATTTACAACTTCATAATTTTGAGAGACCATTCGATGCCTATTTAGAGAAATGATAAACCTAAATCGTGTAGCAATAGGAAAACAAAACCTAATAGAAACAGGATGCTATAATACTACGAAAATAATGACAACTATATTTTTCAATTTCTGTACTGTAAAAAATACACTTATGAAGATATAATAAAAATGTTATAGAACCCCTCCAAACCCTCCAAACCTCCCATCCAAACGGATGCTTAGGTTCTGTATAAAACAAATGAAGCATGACTATGATTTGATCTCTTGCCTACACTTATTAATTAGCTCATCCAATTGAACCGCGCTTCATTTTCTTTGGCACTCTTCGTTTTAATATTGTTTTTTCGGTAATACTACCCTGTAGGTATCAGATCCATTTTTCTTTGCGTTTGCATATGCTTTCGTCTCATCACAACTCAAGCATGTGCAAGAGGTCTTTTCCTTTGGTGATCATTCATTCATGAATGCACTCTATGAACTAAGGGCTTGGATGATGAAGTTAGGATCATGTTACTTTTATGCGCTTATCAATTCTGTTTTGAATAAACTTGGTTTGCATGAGGCGGATTTCAATCTAACAAAAAAGGTGGTCAATGATGAACAAGCCGTGCTTTATGAGAGGGGCATATATGATTTCCGAACATCGCCCATGTTGCTTGTTCCAATGTGCAGCATCTATATTCTAAATCTTGCTTGTTTTGTCATTGGAATGGCAAGGATATATGGCAAAGGTGACAAATTGCTTGCCCAAGCTACTCTCTCATTCTTTGGGATAGTTGTCAACTACCACATGTTTGAAGGAATGTTCTTGAGGAAGGACAATGGTCGCATCTCACTATATGTCTCTCAGCTCGCTCTTACGGCATCTGGAGTTATCTTGGGATGTGGGTCACTTCTTGTTCAATACTGATTTGCAAAGGTACATTTGCTCAATGATAGTGAGTGTTTACTGTTACGTTGAAGTAGTAGAACTGCAAATTCAGATTCTTCTAATGTGAAACTAAACCTTCATTGATCTCAGCTCCAGTCTGAGAGGTTGGAAACCTGTACTATGATGAATTTCTTCTGTCTCTTCAAATCTGATCTGTTCTAGTTGGTATGATCTAGTCTAGTTTGTTCTAATGTGATATTATGTGTATATTATTATTATTATTATTATTATTATTATTATTATTATTATTATTATTATTATTATTATTATTATTATTATTATTATCATTATCATTATCATTATCACCATCATCATCATCCAATCCTGATTTGACTTGACTTGACTTGTCTAATCCAGATATGGTCCGGGCGTGGTTTGATCTAAATTAAGTAAGCCCGACCTGACTTGTCTAACCTAGATATGGTCTGGTCCTAATTTGATCTAAATTAAGTAAGCCCAAGTGAATAGATCCTTTGTAGTAAAAGATTGTACCACAACATATAGTTTAATGTTATTTTTTTGCCATGCTCTCTTGGTATTTTAAGTTATATGAAAATCTTATTTTCATCAGTCTTGTTTATTCATTCATTCACTCACTCATTAAATAAGTGTATGTACAATAGTATTTTTTTTATTTATATATGAGATTTTTCTTAATATTACTATATTGAAGTAATTCCAAAAGTGACTACTTCAGCATCCGGAAAAAATGTGGATAACAAACAGGTTAATAAAATTGGAAACGTATGAATGTTACTTTAGCATGGAAGAAATTTCCAGTGAAGTTTTTATGGCGACTTTCCTGGTGGCCTGTGTTCTCGACGGCCTTGCAGAGGTGGGCATTGGTTGGGTAGGGATTACAATGAGAAGAAATTTAAATTGATAAAACAAATGCTCGTCGTTAAATGGTTTGCTGTTGGGATTAATTGTTATTGAGTGTCTTCTAACTGCTTGGTGTACCCCAATTTGTATCCCAATTTGTACACCGTCTGTGTACACAGACATTTGGACAGAAAGTTTTGTCCTCTTTCAAACGAATTGTCTGTGTACAGGCAATTCAGGGGGTGGGTACAAAATGAGGTACATTTTGGGGTACCTGTAGAATTTTTGTTGGTACTTTCCTGTTTCGCTGGTGATTCTGCCAAGGCGCCATTCATAAGAGTTCGAAACTGCAACTCTGCAAGGTTTTGTCTATGCACATAACATTTCAATATTTCAAATCCTCACAAGTTAATGAAGTTGTAAGTTGTATCAAAGTGAGTAGCATATAGTCAAGCCAACCGCTAGAAAGACATTTGCAGCCAAGTTAACTGGTATAGAGGATTGAACAAACAAACAATCCAAATAACACGGGAATGCTGTGAAATTTTTTATTTTTTCTTCATCCCTTTTGAGTTTTGACTCTTGATAGGGAATACAATCATAATGTCTTAGACTTCTTTACCATATCAAATATTCCTTTTCAAAAGACTTTTTGGAATAAAGTTTCGTATACTTGCTTTGGAATAGACACATCCTTGTCTTGGAAGCCATTTTGAGCCGAAAGTCAAAGTCTTGTTTTGCAAAAATTATTGCAAATATAATATATACTCCCTCCGTCCCCTTTTAAAAGTCCCGGAGGAGGGTGTCACGAGTTTTAAGAAAAGTGGGTTTGTGTGGTTGATATTAATTGATAAAGTTGGAATAAAGTAAGAAAAAGTAAGAATGATTTTGAGCCACACAAACTTTACCAAATGAGGTATGGGACATTTAAATAGGGACATCCCAATATGGTAAAATGGGACATTTAATTAGGGACGGAGGGAGTACATCGTAAAGTGATACTTTGTAGTCAATAAAATTGTTGCATCAACTGTATTATATAACGATTTAAAGTACAGAGTATTTAACAACTATCAAGGAGAGTTAAGATGTTTTCTTTTGAACTATTTCCCAGATCAGACCTGACTTCCGTAGTTATTATATACATAGAGACCAGACATTTTTACCAGACCGGACCATACCAGTTAAGATAAGACCAGACCAACAAATTCCAGTCCATAAGATCCTTAGTATGCAATGGTCGTAGTGTTTTCGTTTGGTTCGAGTCAGATTTCCTAAAACAGTCTCACTAAAATGGAGAAAATGGTCTTTCATAATGGTTCCACAATCTTGTGATACTCAGGTCGTCAGGTAATAGCAACTCTAGTATGACTCAGAATGTACTTAGCACACTAATCCTTGTATATGGTATAAAATAGTTAAATTAAATAGGAGTGAAGGATACATGTTTTCCATTGATAGACATAATTTTTTATTTCCTAAATATGGTCACATATTCCTTCCTTAGTTCCCCTAATTTGTTCAATACATCTAGTCACGGAATCCGAGTAATATATATTTTTCAATATTAAATAAAATATACTACATTATATTAAAATATGGTCTCAAGATAGCTGAATAGTTTCAAAGTTGTAGCTGGACTCTAGAAATCTAGGATGAGAAATGGTCCCAAAATGACCGATTTTAGGATCACAATATTTTGTGAGGTCGTCGAAACTAAGAATGACGAGATAATTTTATTATAAAAATTAGTGACTAGTGGTAGTTGAAATCCAAGAAGAGAGTATGCTTAGTATGCTTAGTGCTATAGTTCAAAGATCATTGATTTTATTTTAAATTTTGTATTAAATTGTATAAATAAGAATCTTATATTTTATGTAGTATTTATTTATATCTAAAGGGAGAATCTCCCCCGTCCCCTAAATATCTCGCTGCTCTCTCCTATGTCATTTAATGGTTATTCTCTCTCTCAAAATCATTTACTCCTTTTTTCGCTCCTTTAACTCGACTGTTTCTTCAAACGGTTGCGTACCGACAAACACCAAAATCATTCACTCTTTTCTTTTTTCACTCCTTTCAAGTTTCAACTCAATTGAAATTTCAGTAATCATCTCTTTGATTCTCATAAATCCTTTCACCATTTCTCTCTCTGTTCCTTCATTTATTCGTTTCTCTCACGCTACGAAAGTTGAGTGTAGTTAGCGAATCAGAAAAATGCAATCCCCCCTGTCGACTCACCGTGCAAATCTACAATTTCTGATGTTGAATCGACGTGCTTTCGCAAATCCAATGTTACAAAGGTATTTTAGTTTCAATTACTCATCTTCTATTAATTGAATTAATGATTGCTATTTTGTCTTACCATATACTGCCTCCGTCCTGAAAAGGTTCCTCATATTGACTTTTCTTGGTCAATGATGGTCAACTTTGGACAATAACTTTAATTATTGTATTTGTATATAATTTCTAAATTTTACTTTTATGAAAATATTTTGAATAAGGAACATTTTGATATAATTTTAATATTCTAAATAGTTTCGTATTAAAAAATATCATTGATCAAAGTTGATTGTCATTGACCAAGAAAAATCAATTTGGCAAACCTCTTTGTGGCGGAGGAAGTATGAAACTTGTTATTCTTTTCAAACACACAATAGGTGGATCGTTGTTCATACCGCTACACTAAAAGCAATCACTCATAGTGTAACACGCCCTTTCCCCTTATGGAATAGGCATAGCGTCACATTTCGATTGCACCAGCAGGTTGACAGAACTGCTGGCATCGCGTCCCCGCAGCGCAACACAATACATGATTCCTTTTCATTCACCACACCTCTTTCATACTTCTTTTATCATATTAATAAAAAATGGCCCCTATAAAATTCAATTTAACGGCGTTAAACTTCTATGGAGAAGGAAGCTGTGTTTTCTATATAGTTGCAAGAAAGTAGTCCATGGCATTCTAGAATGTGGAGTTAGGCATCAGATCGGTTGATTAGAAAGTGATGACCCACTTTCACGGTGTTGTAGTGAAATGGATTTTACCCTTTTAGATGGAAAAAGTTTATCCCCGAGTATCGTGTTTTTGAAAAATGACGAAGGGTTTTCGATGTTAAGTTCAATAACAGATTATCGCAAGTTATTGGAAGCTTTCTTAATTAAAGCATTTGTTTGATTGTCTAAACTAATTTGTAATAAAAGATAGTGCCTTAAAACTTTCTTAATCTTTCCATTTGTACTCCTTATAATGAATATTTTATTTTATAACTTGAAGTGTACTTCTAATTTGTTTGAAATGAGAGATGAAGGAATACAGTTACATAAAATAGAATGATGAAAGAATAAGTGATATACAAGAATGAAGATTGAGAAAGTCAAATGTGATCTCAAAAATGACAATAATGCAGAGAATGAGAATATATGAATGTATGTATGATATGAGATCAAATGATTTTACAACTTAAGAGGAACTTAATGCATATATGGGAGGAAAAATGATATTCAAATGGGAATCCCCCTTCGTATAATATAGGATTAAAAGGAATTTGATGCATATGAGAAGGAAAATAGTATATCAAGGATTATATTTTAGGAGATAGTAAAGTAAAAATTAAAATATATGTGAACATTTCAATTTGCATTGCTTAAATTATTTGTAAATTAATCACCTTTTCTAATAATCCAAATCATGAGTAATCTTTTTTTGAGGTCATGAATATTTTATTTTATAACTTGAAATATACCTCTGATCTATTGTTATACGGAGTATATAGTAAAACGAAGTTATAAATTAACGATGTGTCACTCTCCTAGTAGTTAACAAAAATTCTATCATCACCACAATTAACAAATTTAGTAACCCTAGTTCACTCGGTGCATAACTTTAATTATGCCTTAATATGAGGCAATTTTTTCAAAAACAGTAAACAAGAATTTCACTCGGCGTTGCATTACTAATACAAGTATTAGTATAAGACCACAAAATTTTCTAAAAAACATGAAGTAGAGAAAATTCCTTAAATGAGATTAAAATAATGTTAAAGCTCATAAATATGACTATCATTGCTTTATTTACAAAATATGACCCATTCACTCCTATTTTGGAAAGCATTAATCAACTTATACTTTTAATAGGGCCAAATAAATTCTATTTGGGGAATACAATATACTTAATCTTATATTTGAACTTTGTATATGGTTTGGTCTTATATTGCGCAATTTCTAATTAAAGTACTCCTATATCAATATGTTTATATGTGTTGTTCTAAAATTGATTAGGATTCCAACTATATATTTCCCAAAGCAATAGATAGGATTCTATATAGGAAATTCTAATACAAGTGAACATCTTTATTTCTTTTGTTCTTCATCATATAACCAATCCTATAAATAATCAACAAGTAGCATATGAATCACAATAAATCACAAAACTCTTATATTAAAGAAACGGTGATTCCTAGCCCGTCTTACATGATGCAATATGATTATATTGAAGAGATCTTAAATATAAAAAAATACAGTTGATCTTTGTGCGCAAGAATGATCAACTCTCTGGGATAATGTCCATCAGTCCAATCTAAATCAACTTATTTTTTATGAGCTACTTTAAAATTACAAAAAAGGTATATTTAAAATAATTTTGAAAATGTTTCAGCTTTACTACTGATGTTTATAACAACTATGAGTATTTATAAAATATTATTATCATTCATGGTTCATATAGTAAATCTAATTTGCTTTTGATCTTTAATTATAGGCATTACATACTACGTTCATTCCATTTTAGTTAGCCAACATTGACTTTTCCAGTCAATGATAATAAACTTTGATCAATCGTTTTAACCAATATACTTTTTGGAATTTTATAAATATTATACTTTTATGATAGTACATTAAACAAAAAAAATTCATATAATTAATACTTACAAATATAAATATATTATCAGTCAAGCTTTAGCATCATTGAGCTGAAAAAATAAAGATTTAGCATCATATTACAAAATTTTCATAGTAAAAAATTGATACATAGCACTTTTACTATTCTTTAATTATGCACAACTATAAGGAATAGTAAGAATGTACTACATTCACCCTAATTTGTTTTGCAAAAAGAAATTATGGGGTTGATTGAACATAAACCTATTCCTTCTCAATTTCTTTTACAAGAGTGATATAACTACAAAGTACAAATTATACTAATTGATATGCAGATGAGAACTAATTGATATGCAGATGTGATTACAAATAGACAATCAAAATTAGAGAATTAAATTATTACAAATCAACAATCAAAATTATAGAATAGAATGATACTATATTAATTAATTAACCAAGAAAAGTAAATTGAAAATAATTTTGGAACAAAAAAACGGGGATATATATTGATTTAGTCTTGTAACTTTAGGTACGTGTAATTGCTATGAGCCATTCAACTTTACTCGCCTGCAAATGTGAATGTGTGATCAATAAATTTATCCATATTAAGGATTTTCCGATCAAAAAATACACTTTTCATGGGGTCGGAAAAGTGACTACCAATGTCCATTTTCGGGACTAAATTCCAAATTTTTTTCAAGAAAAACGTCAAATCTACTCCTGTCAAGTACATTACGTTATAAAAAAAATCCAAGTTCAAGTCCAATCAAATTCATAAAAATAAAACAGATCAAATCTTCAAGTTTTTTAAATAAAGAGAAAAGATTCATAACCAAGCATTCCAGCCCAGCTAGTTGTGAGGTTACCGTGTCTAGTGATCGAGAGGTCTCGAGTTTGAAACCCGCTAGGCATATAAGGGTTCGAAATTCAATGGAGTGAGTTTCAGCCCTGATTACTCCAGACTTCCCCCAGCCCCCTCCCTCAGACCCTTCTGGAGTAATAAAATAAAAAATAAAAATAATTAAAAAGAAGAGAAAAGATTCATTGCAATCTGCATCATACACTCAAGACTCCAAATAAACTCTAGTCGTTATAAAACACATAATCAAATGTACAAAATACTTAATATTAGTGAAATAGATTTTGCCTTGCAAAGCTGAAAGTTTGACTTAATGGTCACAATAACAGACACTTATTCTATTATATATAAAAACATGCTTGTAACAAATACTTTTGCCTCCAATTGTAAGATATATTTCGATTTGACACAAGTTTAAAAAACTAGGATAAAGTGTTTGTTTTACAATTTCACATGAAAAAATTAAGAAAATGTAGTATACATCTAAAAAGAAGTAAGTGATAGAATGATAGATATAGAATAAAGTGGGAAATAAAAGGCAGTGGTAATTTAAAGAAGTTTTCATCGTTTCTTGGACGCAAAAAAAAACATGTCTTAATGGAGGGAGTAACAAAACCTTGTGGAAAACGAATACGGATCATTGTTTTAAATTGTGGACAACAAAACGTGTTGCGGACGCAATATTGCAATTGTGGACCGCTACGCAACCGTATCGGACTGCAATGACAGTGAGATTTTGATTCACGGGGAAAATCCACTACGTAACCGCAACGGGGCAGCATTGGACCACACCAGGACAACAACACTAATTTAATTTTTTTCTTATTTCGTTCGAACCTAAAATTAATTCGCACCGCATCGGCTGCAATACACATCACAACTGCTGCAATAGTCGCAACCACAGAGATCACAGTTGTTGTAATAGCCACAATGCAGTAATCACAACTCCAACCGTGACCGCAATTTAAAACCGTAATGTGGACTAAAGAGTAAATATATGATGTATGATGATGGATAATTTAATAATCATTTAAGAGATACAAAATTACAATTGGTTGTGGTTTTATTCATAATAAAAACCAACATATTCAACTTTGGATCTTATGAATAATTTACAATATTTATTAGTATTTTTTATTTTAACTCATATCAAATTGACGAGCTACCAAGGCATTGTCTCGGGTTTTACACTAGTTTGTTTGAAATGAGAGATGAAGAAACAAAATTACAATAATGAAAAGAAAAATAACATACTGGGATGATGATAGAGAAAGTCAAACCTGATAAAGTATAGAATGAGAATGAGGTGTTTGGTAAATGACGTTTCATCCCAAAAATGACGGTTTAACCATTTTTTGTGTTTTCAATAAGTGAAAAGTTGTTTGGAAAACAATGATTTGGCATCAGCGTTTTTGGACGGAACTGCTGAAATGGAAACATTGCAAATAAGAGAGTTATGGGTTAGCATTTTTAAAATATGACGTTTTTTTTTTAATTTTATGGCTAAGCAGCTAAATTACCAAAATCTTCTAACAATTTGTCAATTTATTCCGCTAGTCAAACCCTTTGATAGAATACGTCATTGACAAACCTACTAACATAATCCGCAATTTTTTATCCGCAATTTGCTATCCGCTAAATGACAAACATGCCCGATAAATAAATGTGTTTACAGGACTACAAGAGAACACATATTTTTTGTAATTTAAAAGAAAGTTAATGCACATATGAATGAGAAAATGATACTCGTGAAAGATGACTTTTATAGCCGGATTACTTAGCGGCATGCCGGCATTAAATAATGGAGTGATACGAAATACAGAGTACTACGTATACTACGACCGTGCATGCGTGTATTTACTACAGTGTATTTTGTTTTTCTACTCCGTATTTTTCTTCTTCGGACTTGGAATCTCTGATGACCTGTCCGCTTTTCTGACTTTCTCTTGTGTGTAATAATATAAAAATAATAATAATTGGAGTTAAAAACTTGGGAGAAACTTCATAATTCCCACCGTATTCAAACAAAACACTCCATCATCAACCTAGGCAAAAATCATGGTACTTGTTCTTGACTCTTGAGAAGCCAAACCTGAAGCAGAAACCAAGAAAAAAATCAGAGAACAACCCCATTTTAAATCTTACCCCAATGTCGAGAAGAAACCTTTCCCAAAATCTCATCTTACTCATGAGTTGATGATCGAGAATCCAGAGATGGGTTCATCTTCTCAAAAGCCCTTTTCCCTCATTTCTCTACCCCTGCTACTTCTTTCCCTTCTTCACCTCATCTCACAATCCAGCTCAGAATCTGACTACACCAGCTTGATTTACAAGGGCTGTGCAAAGCAGGAACTTTCAGATCCGAGCGGGGTTTACTCACAAGCCCTCTCCACTCTTTATGGCTCTCTCATTGCGCAGTCCTCAAAGACCAAGTTTTTCAAAGCATCCACTGGGAGTAACCCGAGCACAGTCACTGGGCTTTTCCAGTGCAGGGGCGATCTGTCCAACGTTGACTGCTATAACTGCGTGAATAGGCTTCCCATCCTCATAGACAAGCTTTGTGGGCGACCCATGGCTGCAAGAATCCAGCTTTTTGGGTGTTACATGCTCTATGAGGTTTCTGGGTTCCCACAAATCTCGGGGATGGAGATGCTGTACAAGACTTGCAGTAGGAAGCTGGGTCAAGGGAGTGGGTTTGAGGAGAGGAGAGACACTGCTTTCACCAATCTGGTTGGAGGGATGGGTAGTGCTAATAATGGGTTCTACACCACCAGCTATGAATCTGTGTATGTGTTGGGGCAGTGTGAGGGTGATGTGGGAAGCTCTGATTGTGCGGACTGTGTGAAGACTGCTGTGCAGAGAGCTCAGGTTGAATGTGGGAGCTCTATTTCTGGCCAAATCTTTCTCCACAAGTGCTTCATTAGTTATAGCTCTTATGCTAACGGCCTCCCTAAACCATCTTCTCCTTCCTCTTCCTCCTCTTCCTCCTCCTCCTCTTCTTCTTCAGACTCACCTCCTTCCTCAGGTATTTTTTGTTTAGTTTTTATTTTTGCCTTAATTTGTTCTAATTTGTAGAATAATTTGATAGATTATTGAAATCCTAATCAAGAATTCTATTCTCTTGACAATGGGGGCTATGTTTCACCCGTTTGCCCCCTTTCCCTTTTTCCACCGGGGATTGAACATCTTTGTCCCACCTGATTATCTGGTTAGGTTCTCAGGTGGCAGCTTAGATACAAGCCCCCCAAGAATAAAACCTATTATTCTGGCCTCCCACTCAAGGGTCCGTTTGAATGTGGAGCTTTGGATGGATTAGGGAAGAAGGCATTGGAGAGCTTTGGATGGATTAGGGGAGAAGGCATTAGGGGATAAGTAGAATGTTTCTAAAAATGATTGAAATTCTCTATGATCACGTACTACATTATACCCTCAGTTTTTATAAAATTTTATATCCTCCACTATATGATCCCCTACTATATGATCACCCCATGAGGTCTGTTTGGATGGATGGTTGAGAACTTGAGGGGAAGACTTTGGAGGGATTTCTATATCTTCACAAATAGAAGTCTTCTAAAAAGACTGAAGAGTGATCGAAATGCTGTATGCTCACCTACTATTTGTATTCCTTCAAATCTTATAAAATGTTAAATCACCTACTAGATTCAAATGTATATGATTACCCTCTTAGGTCTTTGATTGGAGGGGTTTGGAGGGCTTAGCCTCTATCTTGATTCTTGATGAATGGAATTCTATAGGAAATGAATAAATGGAGATTAAAATGTTATATGGTCACTTATTATGTTATTCGTTCAGATGTTATGAAATCTCAAATATATATCAAGAAATGGACTTAGTCGTCCAAAACCCTCCTTCCAAAAACCGCCATCCAAACAAACACTTAGACACTGTTCAGTACCACGATTTACTGCTTATCCACATACTTGGGCGGAAGGGGAGGGCATCCAGGGCGAGCAATTTTTGTGTTTTGGCACCAAAACTCTATTCTCTTGGATTTTTGTTTCAAATATTGCACTATGGAATATCTCATTTTAATGTTTAAGAATTTCAACAAGCTAATTGTCTTAGCTTAGATTAGATTGAGGGGTCTATGAATATGTGATCAATAGGAGGCTGTGTTTTGAACAGCAGTTCCCTGTGTGCTAACTAACTGCAATCTTATGTTTGATAAACTATTGCTGGGTCAGGACAAAATGCAGGGAAGACAGCAGCTATAGTAGTAGGAGGGGCTGCAGGAGTGGCCTTTATAGTCATTTGCTTGATGTTTGCCAGGAATTCAATGAAGAAACGTGACGGTAAGCATAACATCGGATAGTGTTGCTAGACCATGTCCTGTTTCTTATGCCATTTCATTTTATCTTTTGGAGTGCTTTTTGTTTGCAGATTATTGAAGGGAGGAAGCTGCATTTTTAGCAGAAACTTATCCTGAGGTGGACCTTTCGTGTAATTTGTTCATTCCATCGGAGGGAGAGTTTTGACTCCTTATTGTGGATCTGGATTCGTGTTAGTAAAAACTATTTGAGGTTTGGGTAGTTTTTTTTTCTTTCCTTTTTTACTTTTTTACTAGTGGGGGGAGGGGGGATAACTCCAGCTGTTAATGAATGCTCAAGTAATTATTGATTTTTTGGAGGGTGGAGAGGGTGCAAGAATTAAGAAAGAATCATTTTTTGTCAGCAATGAAAAAGATTGGAAACAGCCCTGTTGGGTTTTTGGCCTTTCTTCCCAATTGCCCATGTGAAAGCCATCTCCTTTTTTCTATTTTCTAACATAATAATGGTCTTCCTATTATTTCTCCAAACCTTGTGTTCATCAATATGGAGATATATAGGTGGACACCATCACATTGCTTAAAATAATCTAACAGCTTTAGTAAGTTCCACAAGGTCATGTCTCTATCTCTTGGCTTGTTTTCATATGTGCTAATGGCTATACAATTTAGTTATCTATCTATTTCTCTTTTTAGCTCTCATTCCCATACTTTTGTGCTCTCTTTGTTACTGGATGAGTTAGCTGTTGGACTTTGCATCAGTACCTTGTAATGCTCTTGACATCAGTTATTGTTTGCCTCCAAACCATTAATTATGATGTTTCACCATCTTTGCCAGAGGTTTTGGTTCTGAATTGATAAATGTAGACAAAAAATTGACATTATTAATCCACTTCCATATTAAATGGACATTAGTTTGAATTCATTCCAAATTTATTCTTGTGAGCACTATTGCTAGTACGGATTATTTTTATAAACATTCTTAGTAGGAATTATTATTGTAAAATCCATAAACTTTTTTTATTATCTAAATGCATTCTAAAATGTTAAGAAATTGTACTATACTCCGGTATATATGTATATAGAGAGTATAACATATATACAATGAGGACTTGGATTCGAAATTCAATGGAATGAATTTCAACCCAATTTACCCTAGGTCCCCTCAAACTCCCTCCCCTAGACGCCCTCCTGAAGTTAATATATATATATATATATATAACGTACATAGTATATACTAAAAATTAATTTTGCAAACTGAATATTGGACTACTGCCTGTGACTCGGTGAGCCTGGCTGCCTACCAACAACTACTAGTCAGGCGGGACAATGAATTTAAATAGAATTAATTAATCTTCTCTTAAAGGAACTTGCAACCTAATTGCACTATCGCAGTACTAGGTATTGGGTTAGAGCCTAGTAGCCTACGAACTAGGAAATACTTTTTGAGTGGCAAATTTAGCTTTCCTTAACTTGGATTTGCAGTACTAGGTATTGAGTTACAGCCTACGAACTAGAAAATACTTTCTGAGGGACTGAGGGGCAAATTTAGCTTTAGAACAAGGTATGGTGTCTGATCTTTGGGACCGTCGGATCAAAACATTAATTGTCAGAGATTTCAAAGTCTGCATATCGAGACTTCTCTTCTCCCATCTGACGATCCTCTGCCAGCAGGGCAATCTGCCATATGACAGAGGATCTTAATGTGGTTGTGATTGATGTAAAGAAGTACTACCCTCCCCTAACATTATGATAAAAAGAATGGGGCAATCATATAAAAAAAATTGAACACTGTGATTGATGTTAAATTGATAGTGTAAATAAAAGAAGAATGAAATATACTTATTCGAATTTTACCAAACTTGGTGGATGGATAAAAAAAATTAAAATTGAACAAAGATAAGAGGTGGAAGGAGTAATATCCATCACTTGAAATGAGCATATATTAACCACATAGCCAAGGAGCAAATTTGAGTAGGACAAAAAAGTTCAATTGTGTAATACTCTCCGTGCCCACCTCACTTTATCTCGTTTTACATTTTTTGTCTGATCCATTAAATTTGTCACATAGTCTCATATCATATTTGATAATATTTTGATAGTTACAATCTGTTCTTATTTTATTCACACTTTATCAATTCAATATCAATCGCATAATTCCACGTTTTCTTAAAAGTTGTGTCACACTCTCTTCTCCCAAACATAATGGGACGGATGTAGGGATGGACTCGGGCCGGGCCAACCGGCCCGGAACCGGACCGGCCCGCTACTGTGCGGGCCCGGACCGGCCCGGTGAACCGGTTCGGTTCCGGTTCGGGCCTCCCGGCCCGGTGGTATACCGGTCCGGGCCCGGGCCTCCAGTTTAGTGAACCGGCCCGGCGGGGCCGGGCCCGGTTCGGGCCGGAATTTAATTTTTTTTTTTGGAAATTTTTTTAAGTTTTGGGTTGGATTAGGTATTTTGGGCCATTTGAGGTGGTTTGGGGTGGTTTGGGGTGGAGGGGGAGGGGGTTAAATAGGGAAGAAAAAAAAAACATTCCGGGTGGCCCGGCCCGGCCCGGTTCTGGCCCGGAACCGGAACCGGAACCGCCCACCACCGGTTCGGGCTCGGGCCTCCTTTTTCTGAACCGAGGCCCTGCCGGGCCCAGGCCCGAACCGGAACCGGTCCACCCCTGGACGGATGTACTAATATTTTAAATTTCCACGTACAAACATCTTTTAACGCATGAAAAAACAATTTTTTATATCAATTGGATAGTTTAATACGCAGTACTCCGTATGTTTTACCAAACCACTAGCGGGCGTTAAGAACAAATTTTAGAACAATTATACTCGGTAAGATTATGTAAAAAAGAATTTGAATTATCTTCTTAGTTACTCCGTACAATTGAACTTCAATTTTTAAGGTGCTGCTTTTCGCAAATCCCAGCATACCCCTGAACCTCTTAACATTACACCACTGAATCCCCAATCCTTTGCGGGCTTTTACAATAACTAGGCTTTTCACACCCCATCGGGTACTTTAGATGATCCAATTTCCGCTGTGGACGATGATATATGATCAAACTTCTGTCGTTGACTTAGAACTCCTTTCATTTCATCGAGTGCTGCTAGCTCCTATTCGAAAAAGATGACCGTCTTTCGGGTAGGGCTACGAAATATATGAGCTGTTTTAAATTCGTAACTTAATTTGTAGGTAGTACCCAAAAAATATAATTTGAGGATAAATTTTACTACCTCCGTCCCTCTTATATTGGGACGGAAGAGAGTGACACGATTATTAAGAAAAGTAGGATTGCGTTGTTGATATTAATTGATAAAGTAAGAATAAGGTAAGAATAATTTTGAGTCACACAAACTTACCAAATATGGTATGAGACGATTTTAGTAGGATTTCCCGAAAATGTAAAATGAGACAATATTAGAAGGATGTAGGGAGTAATTGTACTTAGCAGTTAGCCTTCAGAATCCTTCGGGAGCTTGGGGTAAGGGAGGCGTAGACTTTGAAGATAAGTTGTTGGAAGAAAAAGAAGGGAAAATGAGTAAACTCTTCTTCTTATTTGGGAGTAGTAATAAATTTGATAAAAGAGAGTAAAACCACTTGTGAGATGTGTTGAATGCAAATAGTTGAACTCATATTTTTTTTTACTCCGGGGGGGGGGGGTCTGGGGGAGGGGGGTTGGGAGGAGCTTGGAGTAATCAGGACTGAAACTCACTCTATTGAGTTTCCAACCCTTGTAAAAAAAGTTGAACTGATATTCATTTTAAATTTAGCTTTAATTATCATTTAGCGAGCCTCAAATGCTGAATGGCCGAATGAGGATTTGACTTTTAAAACTAGAACTTTATAAATGGAATGAAACTGTCAAATAGGTTCTCGAACTTTTATAAAAATGTCAATTAAGTCCTTCTATAGGAGACTCTGTCCGGTCATCGTGATTTGGGGCGGTTCCCGATGGAATTTTTTGATGAAATTTTTTGAGCATCTTATTCATCAAGTCTAGTTTACTCATACCAAATTTCAGCTAAAAATTTAACCGGGAGCGCATTCAAATTAATTCGAGAATGTAAAAATGCGCAGTTATCTTCAAGAATTAATTTGAATGTGTTCCCGATTGAATTTATAGTTGAAATTTGGTATGAGTACACTAGACTTGGTGAATAAGATGCTCAAAAAATTTCATCAAAAAATTACACCGGGAACTGTCCCAAATTGCGACGGCCGGACAGAACCTCCTATACAAGGACTTAATTGACCTTTTTATGAAAGTTCGAGAACCTATTTGACAGTTTTCCCAATGTATAGTTGAAAAGGAATGAATTTTATAGTTAGTAGGAGTTTGATATTTTTCACAATAATGTATAATTGTACGCCTCTTCACATGCACATGTGTATCTTTTCTTTGTACATAATAAGAAAATTTTATGAGTTATAAAATTTAATCACCAGAAAGTTATATGGAAATTGAGTTCTTGACTTTCCCAACATTCCAAAACACCCTCATTTGTTACAAGAAAAAGGACTCCCACACTTCATCATCAAAGCACAGACATTGTGAATAATTTTGGAAGTTTTCTGTTTGGCAAGGATATTGGCAGGAGGCCAGCACTCTGAGCTAGACCGGACACCCTTGTCTGAACTCACATAAGATTCTGTCAAAGCTGAAGGTATGGTGTGACTTTGGTAGTTGAGCCCGGTACCAAACTTGTGTAGCTCGATCAACTTGGACTTCGTAGGGTCAAAGTTTCAATGATCTTGTTGAGTACATGGTCAAACATTGAAATTGCTTTTTTGAAAAGTATAAGGTCATCACTATCATGTAGGTTTGTTTTTTTATACCTCTCCATGTCACACCTTTTTTGGTAGAAGGCATCAAGGTAAAGATATATAGACATTGCAAAATTGTTATGTACTACTTCATTTTGTGACATTTCCGAAAAGATTCCCGAAAAGTCAATCTGACGAATCTTTTTGTGACGGACGGAGTACATCATTAGAACTTAGAAGGGGCATTCCTCAATAAAAAACAAACCTTTACTTAAGAGCAACTGCACTTGAGCATATCACCTTCTTAAACAAACCTAAACAATCTAAGAGTTCAGAAACCAATCACACTAATGGGATACATTTTGAAAAGCATCCGATAAACAAGCAATCTAATTTGAAAGGTTACTCCCTGGACAGTAGTACATTTGTGCCAAAAAATGAGCTCATTTCTAGCTTTTCATATCGAGTATACCGCACAACATATAGCCAATCCGACAACTTCGCTTCTAAGCCTTGCTCCCTCGTATTGCTTCGTACACAATTTGACCCTGCTCAGTAGCGTTGTAGCATTCTTTTTATATTGGACTTGTTTTTCTAGATCGATAATGGTCAAATTTGACCTTGGATATTTCAAATATGAAACTATTTAAATGTGAAAATTTTATGGAAATGTTTATTGTTAAAACTACATTTATAGAAGTATCCAATTTATACATTTCACACAAACAAGTCAAATATCATAGTTAAGATCATTGTCTAATGTTTAGTGTTATTAACCCAAAAAAGATAATATGACCAATTTTTGTGGGACATGTGTAATGTTGTTACCTTTAATTTATGTGACACTCAAAATCTGAAGTAAACAAATAAAAGCTATTTAATATTTTAATTACATCTTAATAGCTAAATATAGATAGAGCTACCTCTAGTTTTTTTAGTGTGTGTAAGGGTATGTTTGACACAACTAGCTAAAAAGATATTTTTGTGACCTTTTTAATAACTGTTAGCTTTTAGCGACTGAAAAGATCTTAAAAAGAAAAGGTGGTAGTTGTTCAGTAAAAAGCTGACTGTTTAATTTAGTTCGATTTGGTATACAAGCTGTTAGGACTAATTAATGCTAAAAGTCACGGGCTTT